CCGCAGCAACAGTTGTTGAGAGACGATATGATATTCCTGACTTTGAAAAGCTTGATGAGGACAAGCAAGAGCCTGAAGATGAAGTAGAAGAGTATATCGATGAGGAGGGCCGAATTGTGCGACGCATTGTAAGACGAACGGTGACTACAAAAACTATCACCAGAACAATAACGAAAGCAGAAGAAGAAGGCGATGATATGGAAGCTGGTCCTATCGAGGTGATCCCGCTTGAACCAGAACAAGAGCCAGAAGAAGGGGAAATGGAAGAATATGTTGACGAAGAAGGACGAATTGTCCGACGCATCGTAAGACGTACAGTTACAACAACAAGGCGCGTTATCGTGGCACCTGAAGAAAGAGAACCKGACTCAATGGAAACAGCAGTTATTGAAAAGCTCGAGGAACCAGACCAAGGAGAAGTTGAAGAATACATAGATGATGAAGGRCGAACAGTGCGCAGGATTGTCCATAAGACAGTAGTGACTAGTACAACTGTAAATGCAAAGCCTGTGTTTCAGACGGCTGGCCCAGTTTATCTTGAAGCGTTACCTGGAAAAGGAGAAGCAGGAGCGATRGAAACTTTTGATGTCGAGAAGCAGTATGAACCAGAGGAAGGAGAAATAGAAGAGTTTGTTGACGATCAAGGTAGAACCGTCAGACGAAGCGTTCAACGCTCAATTACAACGAAAAGCATTGTATTAAAYTCCGATAAAAAAGAACCAATTGTATTTGAATCTGGCGAACCTGTATATTTAGARGAAACACCTAAGCAAACATTAGAAGCAGAAGGAAATGTGGTCGTCAGCACAATTCAAATAGAYCAAGGTCTTCCTCATGTTGAAGAGAAGTTCGAAGAGTTTGTTGATGAGGAAGGTCGAACTGTTAGAAAAGTAGTGAAACACTATGTTACTCGCAGAACAATCTTTCAAGAGGGAAAACCTGTAGAGCATGTACTTGACTTACCAGAAACAGAAGACAGTCCGAGATTTGAATCTGCCCCGCCAGTTTCAATCACAGAGGGATTTGTAGACCGTTCTGGACGAACTTGGGTTACGACGGCCTCTGACTTATCTCCAGTTCTGAGACTCGAAACTGTGTTTTCTCCTCAAGATCTTCAGCAGTCCGTCAGTATACAAGAGATCGAGCAAGGTACTGAACCCGAGGGAGAGGAAACGGTTGAAGAGTATGTGGATGACGAAAGTGGAACGGTTAAACGGATTGTCAAACGATTTGTGACAACAAAAACCATTGTCCGAGAGTCAGAACCGATCGMCATTGCTCCTCACGATGTTAGCTTATCTTTTGAAACGCCCACCGAAGAACAACAWCAAGTGCAAGAAGTCAAAGAAAGCTGGCATAATGTGGTTCTTTTCCGAGAACAACAACATTACTCTCCTGTACGTAGTACAACCACGTACASTTTTATAGAGCAAAAGTACATTTCTATTATTCAAAGTCTGTATCAACTGGTATTAGAGCTGAAGTCGCTTATTGTCATTTACTTGTCCAAGCTTGATTTAAAGTTCAGTTTTGAATTTGACGAGTTCCTTTTGTGGATTATTCAAGTTGAGACGCGTCTTGGGAACCTTCGTCCTGTGACATGGAGGTTGGCAGAACTACTCGAAGAACAACTTCTCACTCAGGTACTGGAAACGTGGTTATGCAGAGACTTTGCGCATCGTCACTTAAAGGGGTCGATAATATAAATGATAAAATAGTTATTTTTAAATATCAAAATAAACGCTAATGATTTCTTTCAATGCTGGCTAACGAATGAAATCTTAAAARAATTAAAATCAAGGTTGCATTATCACGTGCATCATTGTTTTTGTTTGGTTTTGGCTCAACATTTGATGATGTTCATTTCATTATTCACTCAATGTACCATAATAAGAGAATGACTGTGCAGCACTTTTACTATCCCATGCATGTTTTATCTATCACAAATCACTATCTAATCTGCAAATGTTCCATTGTTATTAGTTCCGTAGCCACTTTAATGTTACACGTTCTAATATGTAAATGCACTGGTTATACTAAGAAYATCTTGTTGTTTAGTTTCGTAGGTRAATCAATGTGAGTCTATTGCACGTTTATGTCCTTCAGTATTATCTGAAGGCGATAATGTGTAACCATATAAACTTGTTATGCACGAGTGGAATTTCCTTCTAGTAGTTTAATGGTTAAGGGGTTCATTTTGCACGTAAAGCATAAGGGTTTTAATTGATGTTCTCTACGTAATCGTACGTTTATCCAAGATAATTGTACTTGTCGTTATGTTTCTGTCTGTCCTTTCACATAATACTCATCCATTCGTAAGTTACTCATCCATTTTGGTTGCGTGTCGCCACCTGGACATTTAACTTTTTGTTGTCATACCTTTGTACACATCCGTCGTATGCCATATTTTTATAAACCCTGAATGATTTTGCATGACTGGGGAACTAAACACCGTATTTAAACAATAATATATGCAGAATCACGAATTATATTGTAAAAATGTTTTACATAATGTAATTTCTGTTCTTAATTTGTTAATTTTTTGAGTTCATTAACTTCGTTTCACGCATTTTGTGGAAACGACGGACTAACATACCTATTGGATTTTGTTTTGTTATTTAATGTTATTAATTTAACATAAACTACAAACACATGCAGCATTCCCTTCTTGATTAAAGTGTTATCGGGCACGCTGTTAATATCATATTATCTAACATTTTAAATTTTAAACGTACTATTATAACATTCTTACCTACTGCCTGCTTGACTTGAAAGACGCGATGCTTACAACACTGGTACTATAACACAAAGGCAAGCTCAGCGCAAAATGTTATAAAAGTCTATTTGKGTTGTGCCCGCTTTTAAAAAACGTTGTGGCGTSGCATCATGGACTAWATTAAACTGTCAATACTATAATAAAATTAACCGTTCATTTTAAACTTAACAGCATTTTGATTGTTGRCATCAGTCGTTCTTACTTACCATAACATCGTAACTTCATTGAACATATCCTCATTTATTATTTTTCGTTTTGAAGGCTCTCGAAAAAGAAGTCCAAGACMACAAACCAATCATCGAGAACTTTGTCGAAGTGACTGAWGCCCTTATTCAGAAGGCCCCTCCGGAAGATCGCAAGCATCTTGAACGTGAAGTAAACCACGTGATCGGAGCCTGGGACGATATCAATGACCAACTGAAGGTCAGGCAAAAGAAAGAAGAGGAGGTGAAGGAAGAAGTTGAGAAGTATGAAAAAGCAAAGGCAGATCTTGCAAATATTGTAGATCAACTTGAAAAGAAGTTTGATGAGCATAAAGCATTYGCTGACGAACCGCAGAAAATTCAACAAGAACTTCAGGCCATAAAGGTAAGATTTAATTACGTATAYAATATCCATAATCCTTTGCTGGCAATCAACTGTTATATCGAAGTGGGAGAAGTGACTATCCTGTTTTTTTTTAATTCTGGCAAGTTTAGCCTCCTACGCAGATTTTTTTGAGATCGACAACACGACTTTCTGCGTAAGAGGCTATGGTCAGTTAAGTTGAATTAAAATAAAGGCAAATAGTTTAAGTCATAGAACACTCGCGATATTTTGGTTGACTAACTACGCAGAAGATGATTTGGTCTGTGCAATATCTTTTTTTGGATCCCAAGCAAGCGCTCGAAATTTACTTGGTAAAACTACAAATATTTCAATGTAGATTTTTGCATTGAAGGAAATTTGTTTCCCTCCTTGAAGGAAATGTATTTTCCAAGTCATCCCTCCTCAACCCCCTCAACCTCTTCCCTCGCCTAACCCTCAAAGCCCCTTAAATAAATAAGTAAGCAAAGAGTGACAAAGAATTTGATTGATGAGTTATTTTATTTCGTGCTAAAAAAAGAGGAAAATGGGTGAGTTGCTTGGGAACACYTTCTATCAAATAACTGTTCGTTCAATAGTTAGAACCTTTTTTTCAAACTTACCTCGAGCAATTTCAGATTACAATATTAATTTTATAGATTTTTGTATTTTACAAATCCTTATTGAGTTTTTCTATCGCAAAATATTTTCAAATTTATCGAAGTCTTTAATTTTGCATTTACATCAGTGACAGCATTTTACGTTTCGAAACTAAATTAGTTAAAATTCCTACTGAGTCTAATTTTATTGGTGAGTTTTAAGTTTCCAAAGTCTTCAGACGGAAAAATGCCAAGCCGAAGAAAATTCCAGTACATGAACTCTTGAAAGATATCCTGAACAATGAAATCGAGGGCAAGTCAAAAAAAAGGCAGTAACTATTTTAAATGTACCTGGCACTTGACATATGCAGTAAGGAGTGGAATAGATTGGATCCGGTGTGAACTAACCACGGGGTTCTTGGTTATCTCCAGAGTTTTCTAATTTTATCATCTGGMGAAACCACGCGTACATCCTGTATTGCTCTTATAATGTCAAATAAAATGAAGAATCGAATTATGCTATTTCTAATAATAACTCTTTGAATTAGTATTATTTGCTACTAAATTATCAGTGAAAATATTGTTCAGAATGTATGTCAGGAATCTCTTCTATTTCCTTGCGTTGAAGTATGTTACGTTTCGTCGTGTTCCGTGCTAACTTGGAGGCCATTTTGTCACGCTCACATTTCGTTGCGTGACAGCAGGTGGTTAATGTAAAGTTCTCGAAAGTGATAAGTTTTGTTATTCAAAAATGCAATCGTTTTGAAATRAAACAATCAATACCTACATTCTTAAAATTGATAAATTAGATAATTAGCACTAAGAATTGATTAGGTTAAGGATGTCTACCTAAAAAGACCGGATTATTTGTTAAATGCACGTATTTCTAGTAAATAATCATTGCATATTACATATTTGCTGTTTGTCAATCACTAAGGCTAACATCCAGTAGATTAATATTACCGTCTGCTCTGTTATTTTTACGTAATTGTGAATCAATAACTTTATTTACTTGGGATGTCTTAGTCRCCAAAAGTGTTTCGAAACTTCCTTCGTGTTTGTTCAACTCGTGCCGTGTTTCTAATTMATCCTATGAAAAGTTGTTCAGTTTTAAGCCTTATGTAGAATAGTGTAAAACAATTTCTACTAGATTTCAGTAAATGTKGSMRGRARSMAARKTT